AATTATTTTTAATAGCAGCCTTCTCTCCAGGAGCTAAATAACTTTAAAAAAATCATATTGTTCCTGCTATTTGAGAAAGGTAGATAGAATCTAAACATCCAATCACTGCAACAGAATGGGCTGAATACCTGTATACAAGGTATTTTAAAATTTTATCTCTGTTTGCTGTGTTGTAGTCCCAGGAGAAACAAGATGGGTGATAAATATATTTTATTGGCCCAACTCCTGTTGGTGAAAGAGACAAGTTTTCAAACTACCTGGAGCAAGAGCTCTGAGTCTTGAACTGCAACAATCTGGATTGCCCTAGATTTCTGTTTAAGGCAGCCAACTAACAAAATGTTCCTTTCCCCCCCCGCCCTGCCTGATTACCATTATAACTGTAAAAGCCTAAACCAGGCAAATTCAGCTTGTTTTGTGAGTTAAAATATAGAGAATTTATAAGTTCCTGCAATTATTCTGGAGATAGCAATGTAGCATATCCTATCCTATATTCAGAATTTTTTGTCTGGAAATTCAGTCAGTTTAGATTGTTGATTCTTCCTATTTGATGCCCATGCTAGTCTTCTTCTGAAACGCCTTAATTGCTTCCAATATACTATATCTGGAAAGGTATTAGCATCTAAGAAACAGACTCCCTATTTATAGAAATATTTTAGTGAGGACCTTGAAGCAAAAATACATTAAAACTCCAATGTTTATGTATAATAGTGAAAGCTACCAGAGTATGACTGGCCCCTGTTCCAGCATCTTCTGTGCTTTATTATTTATAAGATTGTGCACTGTGAGGAAGTAACCAAGTTTAGAGAGGTAGCAGTCCCGTTCCACAGGTCGAGTAGAGCTGCTCAGTGCAGGACCCAAAAGGGGGTTACCTCCATGTCACATTTGCTATTTCCCATGTCCTTGGGCTGGTGAGGTGGCTTGGCCTCCATTGTAAATTACAGTAGCCACCAGGCTCTTCAAACTTAGGTTGCCTGCAACAGCCCCTATGGACCTTTGTGACAACTAGAGATCACTGAAGCAGAGCATGCTCCAGTAACACCTCTTCTCAACATATTTCCTACCCACACCAGAGTTTATGATGGGATGTAGGGGCTGTGGTGAGCCAGGGAATCCACAGCTGGACACTAAGGCGAGTTTAGGGCTGTTTTGCGGCATTGAAGCATAGTGACAAATCATCCTTACTGAGGCCAACATTCTGGTCCACCTATATTAGAGAAAAGTATCACCCAATTTGTTGGATTCCAGATACTATATAGTCCCAAAACCAGAGTAAGCAAATATAATGATAATCTGGCAATACAACATGAAGAATAGGTTGGTCAAAAAAGAGACCTGTAATAATTTTAAAACCCTCTGTAAAAATAATCAAATTCTTATTTAGCTTTGCAAAAGGCACAGTGTGGAGGAATGTTGGATTATAGTTAGACAGTCAGTTGCATCTCCAACTAGCTAATCAGACTGAATGCATATGGTGCTCGTCACTGTGGTATCTGAGAGGCTTTCAAAACACAAAACCAAGTCCCATCCTAAGATACAGATTAGTAGTTCATTTAGTTAAGTATTGTGATTGTTAAAAATTCTGTCTTCTTTTGAAAGCTAAAGTAAAGAGATGTGTCCTGCACTTGGACATAAAAGCCACAAGATACAAGGCCAGCTCTTCCTATGCAGTGAGGCTGAAGCAAACAAAAACACAAATACCAGAGGATTATATTACCTAACACAAAAATTAGGTGTTTTTGACAGACTGAATTATAATAAACTCTGTTAATTGACTCAACTTTTCTGAAGGAAAGGATTGTCAGTTTCAGGAAAATGAAATTATTGCAAGAGTGCTATATTCATTTCTACATATTTGAAATGGGTTAGACCTTTTCTCCATTTGACTGTTTCAAGAGATGAACTTGAACAGCTTAATTATTCCACATGTGCCACTGAAGGAATTTTAAATAAGGATTTTTTTTCAAGGAGATAAACACAAATATACAGACTATAGTGACTGTATAAACTTTAGGTTCTATGGAATGTAAGCATCAGGATAATATCATGCTGTGTAAGCTGGTGAGTTCTATGTATATTTCATAAAATGCCATAACTTCTACATTCATGTACTTAAATGCATTTTACCAGCGTCCAGGTAATCTCACATGAGAACACAGGTTCAGGATATCTGCCCTAACAAGAACCTATGGCAGTACATTGGGTTAGACATCCAGAAGAAAATAAGTATGAGAACAAATAAGGGAATATAATAATAATAAAAGCATGAAAGAAATTGGGAACGTAAACTTTATAGCCCTGTCATAAAACACCTGTGTAATATCTGCTGCTTGGAGGCCCTGAGTCCATACGGGCATATTTCTTTTTATGTTAATTTGTACCATCCACGTTACCATGAGAAGGCAAAAACTAATGTGCTTTACAGACAATTGATCTTTATTATAATGAAGTTGTAATAATCTGTTTCAGCATCCAGACAAGCAAATATCACATACAAGTGAAAAACAAACCTTGCATATATGTTTAAATTATTAACTATAAACCGAATACCAGTGCAATCTGTACAACTGTTGGCCATTACAAAGCACTCTACAAATATTGGAAGCTCCTTAAAAGAAAAAAAGAAAGAAAAGTCTTATACAAACAAAAGCCTTAATGCATTTAAACCTCTTTGAATTATGCTGTTATTCCAAACAGTGTCAGCAGACAATCCAAATCTGATAATAAACATGCTGTTTAAAAAGTACCCCTACATTTACATTTAAATTAATTCTCTTTTTAAAATGATATTTGCAGAAGCATTCAACTAGAAACAATTTGTTTGGTTTGGGGTAAACCTCAAGTAAATATTTTTTTCTTAATCTGTGTGTCTGTCTGTGCATGATTTATGTACTATATTGTTTTCAAATACCCAGTTGTATTTGCAGATAGTTATTTGTGAATCCATGCAGTTTGTTTAATAACAAGTAGGCTAGAATCACAATTACTTCTGTTTTTGCATTCAAAGGCTTGAATTTATTTCATAGTCCCCCAACTGGAAATACATTCCATTTATTTCAATACAAATTCTATTTAAGATACCTACTAACCTTTTCCTTGCTTGACAGACCGTTCACTGGTAAACAAAACATTTTTAGTATCTGGTAAAGAGTTGTGAAACAGACTTTTACAATACCTAACTTCCTCTTGGTTTTGTTTAAATCCAGCATTTTTATCTACTTCATAGGACAGGCAAAAAAGGGCAAATGACTATCTTCATAAATATGTTATTACAATCTATACATAGCCTCATAACAGGTCTACATCTCTTATATAAAGTGCTGTATCAAAAATCTTATTTATTTAGGGGAAACTATGTTGATTTTAAGAGGTTGTGCCATCTCCAATTCCAGAATTTTGCAGCTGGCTGTGAAATAAGTTATTCTAATGCTCATAGCAAAAGTTATTAGCAATGTTTTGAAAATGCTATTATTGATGAAGCATTGGAATGAGAATCTATCAGGGCACACATTTCAAAAGAACAACACACAGATAAGCTATAAACAGGGGCATGACTATCATCATGTTTCCACTAACAAAAATGATTTCTCCTAGAAAGTCTAAAGGTGACATAAATATTTGGTAGCTTTACCTCGGTATTCTGTGAAAATTTAAAAATGCAGAATCAATCTTCCACTAGTGGCAAGAGCTACTTCAGTCAATACATTTATGTAAGATTCTCACACAGAAAATATTTAAATCTATTCACGTCTCTTAAAAAAATAAAAGGGCAGATGTAGGCCAATCTTTCTTCCCAGCCTTTACATAATAGTACAGCATTTCAGCAGAATATTTACTGTTCTAATAGATTAAGACAGAGAAACCCATTACATTTTCAAAAAGGAAGGAAACCATCTTCTGTAACCACATCTAACTTCTTGTGAAGCCCCGATAAAAGTTACAGGAGCTCCCTTTTATGGGTGACAGGTAATGATGGTAGATAATAATATTTCCTTTCAGAAAAGAAATAGTTCCACACATGCTAGTTTACAAACTATATCTTGAGGATTTCTAAAATACTCACTTCTCTTTGCAAATTTTCTGAGATAATTCAAGCCTAGCGATCTTTACAAATTGAAGGTGGGAGGAGGGATAGTGATATATCAGCATGTGAGAAACATAACTTTGACGATCATGGTTTAGGTGGGTAGAATAGATCAATGTGCATATCAGGGAGTGTAGACAGGAATAGATGACAGTAATCAAGACAGAAGATTACCAATAATTAGACAAAACGTTGGCCATGTGGACATAAAAAAATGGTGAGATGTTGTGAAGGAAGAAGTACCAGGGGTTCGGGCCGAACCTGGATATAGAGGACTAAGGAAAAGGAGTCAAAGAAAACATCCTAGCAGTATAAGTGACAGGGAGGATGGTGGTATTATTGACATGGCAAAGCAGGTTGTTCTACTGTGCAGTGCCATTCACAAATATATAAGAAATGCATATTGAGAAAATACTCCATGCCATAATAAATACATATTGGGAAAATAATAAATATTGTAATCTTAATTACAGGTTATATGCCTGTATCTTGGGTTTTTATATATTAATAATTTTTTCATTAGACCTATAACCACAATTCTTGGTTATACACAATACCCACAAGAGGGAAATATCAAAACCATTAATTTATGCTGTTTATTATACTTACTATAAAAAAATTGTGAATTTTAGACCTATGCCAATGTAAAAAGCCACAGACCTCAATCGTGACTTATAATGCCCCTTTCTATGCCAATGCTCCTGCCAGTTGTGCAGTTAGTTTCTCTAGTTAAGTGTTCAGTGGGGTGGGTTTAGTCTACCAAATTAATTTTACTTGTGATCAAACAAACTTTGGATTGAGGTTTACAGGGGGTTGGAGGAACAGGAAAACCCACTCAGCCAACTACTCACTTTAAATTTCAATTTTATAAAACTTTCAATGTGCTGCAGAGTTCCCTGGCACATGGAGTATTACTTACAATATTGACATCTGTCTCCAGTGTACTCAGTCAGGCAGTGACAATAGGGTTGATTTCCAGCAGTGACACTGCAGGTTCCTCCATTTTGACAAAAATGATCACAAACTGTTTGATTGCAGTTTGGTCCTGTAAAACCCAGCGCACAGCTGCATGTAGGCCTCCCTATTCAAAATAAAGACAACTATTTTTATGGTAAAAATAAATATGCATTAAACTTAAAGTCAGTACTTTTAATATAAACATACTTTTCAGAAAATAGTAAAACTTTTGATTTTTAAGCCCACCAAGTATTTTTTGCTAGACACCACCAACACATTTCATTAATTTGTGCTGTTATAAAGAAATGCAATTTGGCTCCAGAATTCTAGTAGAAAAAAGCACAACAATAAATGAAGCAGATGCTCCAAAGATCACACCTAAGTGATTTCCCCATATTTTTGCAGATCCTCTTATCCAAAAATATTTGACCATCTACCATGTCATTGGAAAGTCACATTACATTTAAAGATAATTTTATGGTGATTTCTATGGTTTATATGGTAAATGTTTAATAAAGCTGTTAAGTTTATTGTAGTGAATGTAGACATGTTTTTACATCGTTTGGTGATTAGTGATTGTGAATTGTAAAGTTGCTGAGGAGTAACTCTTATTACCAAAGCAATCGAGTTGCTTCTTGTCTTTGTTGTAAGGGATAGATTGAATATGGAATTTACTACCATGCTCATTAACTCTTCTACTACCAAGCAATTCAATGACAGGTATGAAAATAAAATTCCAAGTCCTTGCCTGGAACACAATATTTTTGTTAGCACATTTACAAGTCGGGGGTGTTGTAGCTGGAGTGTGCCAGATAGTCTCAGCAGACTCTAGCAAAGCCTCATTCACAGGAAGGCCATACATGCAGAAGCTGAAGAATGTAGAATCCTGGATCTCCTCTAAAGGAATTTAAAAGCATATCTGCAATGTTTTTCATCAGCGCCTGAAACTGCCTAACATCATCTGCAATGGAAGGTGGTGGGTCCATTACAGCCTCATTTGGTGATGAGAAAGAAATGTTTGTTTTACCTTTTTGTCAGCCCTTGCCTCCTGCTCCTCAAAGGTCTCATCTAAAGGCTCAGGTAGAGGAGGAGGGAGTGATGGTTCAGAAGAATGGTTCTCCCTATGCTCTCTGGGAGATGGACTGAGGCCCTCAAGAACTGCTGGCAACAGAGGGCTCTGGGATCCCAATAAGGCCACTGGGGGGGCCCATAGGGCATAAAAGGAGCCATCTTTGGTCACACCGAATGGATGGAGATTGAGATTGTTTCACCCCACAAGGCTTTCTCTCAGCATAAGTAGGAGAGTAGTATTTCATAGAGTAGACAGGAGATCCCTGAACCAATATATGACAGTTGGAAGAATCATCCTCAACATATTCTAAGGGAGGTGATAATTGTTTGCCCTCAGTGATCAGTGTTGGTGAAGCAGGAGGTCTCAATGAGAAATGTAGAGGTGGTGACCCAGAAGGTCTTGGGGCAGATAAATGCACAGTACTGAGAAGTAACAGAGACTGTGGTTCACCTGAAACAAAAAGATCCCTTAAATATCTAAACTCCTATGGTACTGAGGGTACATGAGCATGAGTTGAGCAAGATCCTGTGGAGACCAATGTTGATACCAAGATAGGGACTGTCTAAAATGTATTGGTGCATCAGACACTGAATGGCTTGAACATGGTGCGTCCAGACTCGGACACAGATGGTACTGATACAGGGGTCTGGGACACTGGTATAGATATTGAAGGTACAACATAGTCTGATGGTGTGGACTTCTTTGAAGTGGGATGTCTACTAGAATGGACATGGCCACCTGTCGCTAAAGAAGTCTTTGGTACCAAATCCAGTTTGGTAGCAGAGTGGCTTTTAGAGGAAGCCTTAGATAACCTGAAGGTACTGGAACCAACTGGACCTTCAATAGTACTCTCCTTGTGATCTGAGTCTCTGAAACATTCTTTTTGATTGGTGACTCAGATGACTTAGGAGAGTTAACATTCCTGCTCTTCTTGTCAGCACCCAGAGTCTCACTGTGAGAGGCTCTTGGTACTGTGGCTGGAGATGCAGGTACTGTATCCCTCAAGGGTTTTGGTGACCAAGGCCCAGAGGTAGTCATGATACGTGGCTTTTGGTGACCATGATCTAGAAGCAGACAGGGCACTAAGTGAGCTTGGGCACTGGTGTGCAAGAGAGTTCTTGGAGCCTGGATTGGAGGCCAGTTTTAGGGCTCGCTTCATCATTAACCATTTAAATTTTATTTCTCTACTTTTATGAGATCTGTTTTTGAAGGAGGAGCAGATCGTACACTTGGCCGACATGTGGGTATTTCCCTCATAATGGAGGCACTGAGAGTAGCTGTCACTGACCACGATAGCTTCCTGATAGGAAAGACATCATTTAAAGCCTGGGGATCCCAGTACACCCCAAAAGCATTAATGTCCAGAATAACCCCCCAAGGGAGGAAATGAAAAAGAGGGAGAAACAAAACAAAAGACCCCAAAACTAAATACAATGAATTAAACTAAGCTAAGAAACACAGAAGCTAATGATAATTAACTATGTCTAAGCAAAGCCGGCATGCTTGACACTCCATCTCAGGCCAAAAACTGTTGAGAAGGAACTGAGGGCAGTTCACCCATGTAGCTCTGTGTATCCTCAGTTCGGGGCACAAGGATGTGTATAGAGCACATGCATGGTCAAAACAGGTACTGCTACTAAAAATCTCTAATCAAGGGTGCATGCACACCTGATGGGACCCTACTCAAAGAACTGTCTGGATCCAACTGGAGTTCACCATCTGCTCCTTCTCCTTTTAAAAATATATTCTACTCCAAAGTCTCTAAACTTCAGTCCACATCAATTGCCTTGACTTGTCAATTCTGCCCCACCCTTTCACACCTTCTAATTTCCCCTCCTCATTGCTTTCCTTTCTCTTATGAATCACTCCTTCTCCCCTGGTCTTTCCCACTACATCAGTTTCATGCTGTCCCTGTTCCACTGAAACTGTTCTCACAATAGCCAGTAAATCACCTCTTTTAAGAGTTTCAAGATATGTCTGCAACTGGGAGGTGCGATTCCCAGCCTGGAATAGACAGACTCATGCTAGCACACCTTGAGCAAGCATGCTAAAAAAAAGCAGTGTGGACACTGCTGCAGACTCAGGCCAGCTGGCCAACCTGGACCCAGGGGTTCAGATGGGTTTGGACTTGGATGCCCAGCCCTATCTGCCACTAGCCCCGTAACATCCACACTTCTGATTTTCACACGCTAACATGAGTTGGGCTAGCATGAGGCTGTCTACCTGCACTCGTCCTCATCTCCATATTAATTATCCTTGATCTTTCTGCTACACCATCAACTGCTCACTACTTCTTTATCTGTCTTTCTTCCTTGGGCTTTGTGACTTTGTCCTTACCTGGTTCTCTTCTATCTTGCTGTTTACTCCTTCAGCATAACCTTCAGTAGAACTTCTTTCCTTCTCTTTCCCGCTCTCTTTTTGTGTTCCTCAGTGAACTGGTCTAGGTCCCCAGTTTTCATATTAGCCCTGGGTGATCTCATCCACCCTTCTCATGCCACTTATTACCACTATATTATTCACAACTCTCATATCCACTTCTCTATATGACCTTTCATAGTTTTTCCAATATCTTTTGATAAGTGTCCTACAACTTAATTAAATTAAATACAATATTAACTGAATCTCTGATTTTTCTTCCTATCTATGCACATTTTTATATCATAACTGTCATTATAGTCTCAATGCCTCACAGAAAGTTCTCTGATGAAAGAAAAGTGGTCAAATTCTCCTCTCTGGCAGATAGGACTAAGCCTTATTTATATTTTCCTTCTCCCCTCTCCTCTCCTCTTACCTCTTCTCCTCCTCTGCATTCTTCCCTTCACTTCTTTCCTATTCCTTTTTCAAAATTCTCTTTTGCTGTTTTAGTGAATGCTAAGTTGAAATATTTGTACATTGTTCCCATGAGATTAGTGCTCAATCAGCCAATCTCTTCCTATAACTTGTTCTGTAGGAATGAAACCATCAACTTAAAATAGCTCCAACTTGGTTGAATATGCAGTAACCTACTTATTCATCAAAATATGTCTCTTGTTCTCTAAGCACCAAATCAATGATCTTGAATTCAGATGCTGACATGCAATTTTTTTTTTTTTTTAGCAAATGACTCAGAGTTGTACTCTTGTATATTTTGTATTTGGATTCTTGCCACTGAGTTAATGGTTTCAGACAGTTTTGAGTTAAATCATTGTTGTCTGGTACATAAGAGTATTAAAAAATAATAATGACAAAATAAGATCTAAAAGTTTGAAGCCTATGTTTTCTAGTCAAGCTCTTTCTTCTTTTTAAAAAGTGATGAAGAAAGCGTATTTTGCCTGTTCATGGGAGAATTTTATTCTCTTCTGTGCAACAGTAGGCTTACAAATAGGCCAGTTTATGACGGTTATATGAAGATTTATTTTACTTTATTCTAAAACCTATTTTTGTCATTTAATTTGATGTGTCAGCTAGAAATGCGAGCAGTTCATTTTCCATTAATATGCAGACAATTATCATCCAAAATAATATTTTTAAAAATAATGCTTAGCTCTTATAAAACATCTATCTTCAAATTTTAAAATACTTCTCAGATTGTTTTATTAAAACTCATAAAATGACCGATAATAGTTACCACACCATACTACTATACACCAAGAAGGTAGTGTGGTCTAGCGGACAGAACAGTGTCCTGGCATGCAGGAAATCTGGATTCTACTCTCAGCTCAGCCACTAGCCTATGATGTGAGTTGGGGTAAGTCACATCATTTTTCTGTGTCCTATTTGTAAAATAGGGTTGATGATAATAGTGGTATCCTTTAAAGACGCTTTGAGATCTACTGATGAAAAATGCTATATAAGAATGATATATTATTAACAGAGATATCAGATAATAGCATGGAGAACATTTTTACAAGTTTGCCTTATGCACACCCAACCATATCAAGGTGGAAATCATAATCACACAACAGTCTTGTGTCAACTTGTGTTCTAAAGGTAAAATAAAATACATTGACACTATATCCTTTTTGCTCTTTCTTTCATCTTTACCCTCCCGAGTTTTTCTGTTCCTCAATTAG